TTAATATTGGTTGTCGAACATTGATATTTTTATTATCATTTTATTTTCTTATATCGTATCTTTATTTTTTTTTTGTTTTTTGATTTTCAATAAGTCTGTCTGTATGACACGTTTTCTTTTGACTTTTGGTAGTTTGATCTCTTTTTGTGGTTCGTTTAATAATTTGATCAGATCTGTTTGTATCTATCTTTATTCGAGTTTCTTAGGTTTAATCTTTCATTGTATGATCATTGTGTGATTTTAAGTGACTAGTTTTTATTTTCATTATTGTAGGAAATCGTTCTAATTATATACTTAATTTACAATTAAGATTATAAATTCTCATTCTAATTTTTGATATTTTTTATTTTTAATAAAATTAACCGCTTCCATCAAGGAAGAAAAGGTTTTATATCACAAAACAAAATCATAAGGTGAAAAGTAATATGCAATTCGGTGGGTTAATTTCTTTTTCATATAATGAAAATATTAACACCACCCAATTAATAAGAATATGAATATATAAATTCAATTAATTGAAAATGTTATAGAAATATTATACTAAAAAAACAATAACATTTAAACAAGAAAAAAGATCAGATTTATCATACAAAATAACAAAATCTACAAAAGGAAGTCGAATTGATATGTAACACCTTCTGGCCATAAAAAATAAAAAGAAATTAACATTAGATATTTTAGGTTGAGTATATCTTAAAATGTTATATTTTTACTAATACTTTTAGTTGAATCTAAAATGTTACGAAGAAAGTTATATTTTCGATTGTCAATCAAAAATATTATAAAGAGTGTAACATTCTATGTTCAATCGAAAATATTAAAGAGAATGTACATTTTACGATGCATCCAACCTAAAATATTATGATTTTTATCACATTTTAAATTACCTCCAAAATCATCATTTTTTTTACCTTAAATTAGGTTGTCCCTCGTTAGATTTCCCATCAACTTTGTCCTCACCCTTTAAATAATAAATAGGAATTCATTATTTATAAAAGGGATAAAGTACACAAATAGTCTCTGATAATAGGGTATTATTTTTCTGAATCCTTCTACATTTAAAAATTAAAAAATAGTCCCTCAACTACTAAAAAGTACATAATGATCCTCTGAGTATATGAAACTCTTTTGTTGAGTCCTCCGTTTACTCAAATGATTTTGGGATCAAATTTTATCATATTTGTCAACAAGTTAATGTCCAACTTAAATGGTCGTCAATTTTTAATAGAAAATAGTGAGTTTGGAACATATAAATAGTCGCGTACTATTTTGTAATTTTTAATAATCGGGGATTCAACAAAACAATGTTCTATAATCTAGAGATCATTTTATAACTTTTAATAATTAAAGAACTCAATAAAATATCACCATATAGTCGGAGAGCCATCTTTATACTTTGCCCAAGAAAAAGAGAAAAAAAAGAACCGACTATAAATCTGGAATAATGAGTCTATTGATTTAAGATACGAAGCTGACATCATCATACATTCAACCCTATTCTTAACTTAGTATATCATATAATAAATTAATAATCTCAATTTTTAAATTAGTAAATGAAATTCGACTTTAGTGCTAAGGAAAATATTAAACAAATTTAAGGTTTTGTTTTCAAAGCTCACCATATTTGAATTATTCCACGGTTGAATCCATTGTTAAATTCAATGTATTCCAGTGAAATAATTATAAAATGGCAGTGAATTAATCCTCCTCCGCTGAGTGATATGTACAGAGGTCAACTGAATTAAATCTTTAAAACAAATCGAATCTTGCACTAACTAACTTATTTTAGTGGTTAAAAGTTATAGATCCGAACCCTAGCGACTACAAGATTAATTGAACGTTTATTGTTAAATTGTCGAGAATACTTAAAATATGTACTATTTTATAATTAACTTTATCTTAATAATAAAAAACAAATGGAATCTTTTCTTTAAATAATATTTTTAATAGTCAAAGTAATTATAATATAATGTAATATTTTTTAGCACGAACTCTTGTGACCTATGTGATAAAGGAATTATTGATATTCCTTGAGGTCTCAAGTTCGAGCACTGGTAATATCTGGGTTACAAGTGATCAATGTCAAATGATTGAGAGTGTTATTTGAACAAATATTATATTGCACTTACCCCAAATTAATAAAAAATATAGATTAAAACTTACAGCGTACAATACAATCAAAGAGATTATCTCGGGACAAATCGAGTCAAAGAAATAATACAGTTAAGGGCACAGCAGCCACGGGGGTTGGAACCTGTTATCATGAACAAGAGAATTACAATCATTCCAAAATTCCATTATAATGTTAAGAAACCAACAAATTCAATCCAAGAACAATTATAGCATTCTCCATCCAAGCCAATGGATTGGTCGCGGTAGGCATTACTGGACGAGTGGGGAAGTCAGCCAGTAAGAGAACCTCCTTCGCCCGGGAACACCCCACCGATAAGGCATTGTGAGCATCTCTCCAAGCAAAGTTCTGGATCTTGGGCATAACTTTCAGCTTAGAGGTCATTTTCCAAGCCTTCGAGAAAGGACCTTGATCATGGAAGTTCGTTAAAGCCACTGGCAGCTCGACCGGACAGTATATATCTCGGAATCATGAAAACCCCATATAATTATGTCCCTCATACAAGAAGCAATAACCACACATAGCAAACGATCTACATCCTCCTGTGCAAGAACTCGTCGAACCTTCTCCTCGTCCCAAAGTGCTCATCCAGGCTGCATAAGGTCCCTACAAAGAGTAGGATGATCAATGGACCGTAAGAGTTGTTCTCCTCCATCTTAGCATGGAGAATATTTCTCGAGGGGAATACTCAGCCCAAATGACCTTGACAAATAAACTTTCAGGATCCTTGATAAGCATAATAGTAAAAAAAATTCCCTTTCCTTTTCGATTCTCGTTATATTTTTTTATTCCCCTTCAGATTATAAGGTTTTTTCCTTGATTAATTCGAACCGATTCATGTTATATATGGCTTTGGTGAGTGAGTCCCTCAATAGTAATTTTATACATACACAATAACTCAAACTCGAGATCTTGCTTAATCGACATCAAACTGCTTACCACTTAAACTAACCCTGATTGGTGTTTTTAGTTATTTTTTTACTCCATAATTTAAACTTAAACTTTTAAATTTTTTATAATAAATCATTTTAAGATAACTAATTGACTGTCAATATTTTCGCTGGGAGGGTATGACAATATTAAAATTATAATTTAAAAAATAAAAATATTATTTTTTATTTATAATTTTATTTCATCTTTAAATAAAATAATTAAAAAACACCACTAAACGATCAAACACAATATTAATAAATTTATGTACAAAATTTTTATCACTCAATTTATGATGCTTCACTGAATAATCTTTTTATATAAAATATTTTATTTATTTATATTGTGAGTGCAACAAATTTTACTGTTCATTAATTTTAAACTTATGCATAATACATTACGTACTAATCAATTATAAGTTCAATAATATAATGTTATTTAAAAATATTTTTTTATCAGAATAAATATAATATTAAAATAAAATTTATAATTTTTTATATTTCTTTTAGTTTAACTTTTATTTTATAAAATAAAATCAGAATAAATATAATGTTATTTAAAAATTAATTAATTACATTTTCATATTTTATACTTTTAAATAATATTATTTTATATTAACAAATCATACTATGAAATGAATCCACACATTTAAAATAGGTATGAATATACATTTAATATCATAACTTGTTAGACTCTCACGAGTTATTATCAGAAAAACAATATGATAACATAAAATAATACTACATATTGTTTTTTTATAGAAATATTACATACTTCATAATGAGCCTAGTGAAATATATTGTTGGAACTCTGGTCTCTATTTTCAAAACTCATAGGAAAAATATATCAAAACTGAGTTCATGAATGCTTTAAATTGATACCCTAAGCACCTAAAGATAATCCCATATAATAAATAAGTATGTTCACATTATTAATTAGGGTAAAATGCACCAATGATTCACCGACTATTAAAATTTACAAAATAGTCCATTGACTATAGGGAGTTGTTCAATTGAGTCATTCATTATGTTTCAAACTCGGTTTTTTCTGTTAAGAAAATTAACTATCATCTTAACTAGACGTTAACATGTTGACTGAGATATGATAGTCATTTTGAGATTATAAGATCAGATTTTATTATATCTTAGTCAGCAGGTTAACGTCCAACTCAGACTACTGTCAATTTTTAAACGAAAAATGACGAGTTTGGAACATAATGAATAGTCAGATGACCATTATATAACTTTTAATAGTCGAGGGTCTCAACAAAGTAACTTTATATAGTTGGGGACCATTTTATAACTTTTAAAAATCGAATGATTCAACAAAGTAGTACGTATTTAGAGACCATTTGTGTACTTTACCCCCATTAATTAAGTTGTAAGTTCATAAAAACACCATAAACCATTAATGGATAACTATAATTGTGATTTACTATCATAAACAAACTAAAATTCGGATCATTGCAAAATGAGATCTAAAACCTGTAAATGAATCTAAAATGTATGATTTAAAAAAATACGAGGAATCAAAGATAAATAATATATATATATATATATTATTTTTTTAGTAAAATGAATTTGGGAAAAAGTACTTTGGTTTTTTTATTTGACCATAAAAGAAAATAAACGTCGTAAGCGCTGACGCGAGAAACGAATTTCTCTTTTTTCCAATATTGTCATTAAAAAAATCATTTTTTATTTAAATTCAATAGGGGGTAATGACTTATTTAGTTGCGACGACGTTGTTTTTTTTCTCTTTCCTTAAAGAGATAGTGATCCAATTCTCTTATCTTCTCCTATCATTTGCCATTGAGAAAGTGAGCGAGAAAAGATAATAGCAAAAGGGGGTAAGTGCTCCGGAATCTGTCCGTAAAACTTGTAAGATCTTTTTGGTTGGAAAACATTTTTTTTGTTAGCTTTAGAAAAATACTACCGGACAATATTGAATTATTATTGCCTTTATTAGTCTCTCTATCTATCTCTATCTCAATCTCGCTTTTCGATCCAACAATCTTGCGTTCTTTTCTTTTTCTGAAACCTTGAATCACAGCTATAATTCTCACACTCTTCATTTTCTAAAAAAAAAAAAAATTGGTTTGGGTTCATTTTATTTCTTTTATTTCAAGTTAATTTTTGTGTGTTTTGGTCGCCCTTTTCACAGCTTGAGTTTTATGTCGAAATGCCTTTTTAAGTCCTTTCCTTCGATAGAAACGAAGTGGATTTATTTCGACTTGTTGCTGGGCGCTTTTTTTTATTGGATGCTGGAAAAAAACACCGTATAAATGTTTGAATGTCAACGCCGATGAAGTTTAGCAAAGATCAAATAAAAAGGATGGACAATGGTCTTCGCGCTTTATGTTTTGATTTTGCTTATTGACTTAGCGCTAAGTTTCCTTTAAATCGGTTGCAGGCAAGCGATGAGTAATATATAAGTGGGTGGATGTTTTTGTGCTTTTAAGTGAAGAGAATTGTGTAAAGCAGCAACAAGAAAATAATGGCTTTTGAGCCATTGGTTTGGTTCTGTAGACCAGTGGCTGATGGGGTATGGAAAAGGGCTGTGTCTAATGCCTTTGGTGCATACACACCCTGTGCCACTGATTCTCTGGTTATCACCATATCTCATCTGGTGTTATTGGGTCTTTGTGTTTATCGAGTATGGCTCATCAGGAGAGATCTCAAAGCTCAGCGCTTCTGTCTGAGGTCCAAATATTATAACTATATGCTCGGTCTTCTGGCTCTTTATGCTACTGCTGAGCCTCTGTTCAGGTTGATCATGGGGATTTCAGTTCTAAATTTGGATGGACAGCCTGGTCTTGCTCCATTTGAGGTAGGATTTCACCCTATGTTGCCTAATAATCTCCTTATTTGTTTTTGTAGGTTTTTCTGCTAATTTGGATGTGTTAATATTTTGTTGTACTTTACCCTTCGGATGAGTAGTTTGAATTTAATCTGAATTAGCTTCTATTTTTATGCAAAATTGGGTTATATATTTGTGTAAATGCTTTTGTTCCTATTTGAGGATGGAGTGAAATGAAAGCCATTGAGTTGCATTTCATTAGCCTGCAATCTTTTGTCCATTAAGGGAGGAAACTCCAGAAAGTAGGGTTGCAAATATGATGCAATGTATTCTTTACAGCCTTACTGGAACCAACATTAAACACATTGATGGCAGTTTCTTGTACTTTATATTTTATTGTATAGTTTCTTCCAAGCTGGCTGCTCTATCTCAGTATCAGTTTTTCCTGGTTGGAGATACTTTCAGTAGTTGAAGACTTGTGGATTATGATGTTTCCTATATTTGAGTGCTACTTTATGGCTTTGTGGCAACTGGAATTGCTATGTTATATGTTATGTACATACATGCTGGAAGAAGCATGTGCCATGGTCAACATTTTCCATCAATTATTTATTACATGAATCTTTCCAGATCCTAGTGCCGTTCTTTATTTTTCTTAAGTTAGTTTGCAATTTTATGAGCCAGAAATCACGATTAGTTTAAGAAGGATCAGTCAATCTCTATGTTATGATATTTAATTTAGTCCTGTTGGCTAATGTAAATCATATCTGAAGCCTTTTGTTTTGATTTTTTGTGCAGATTGCTTCTTTGATCGTGGAAGCTCTCACATGGTGTTCTATTTTTGTCATGATTGTTGTGGAAACTAAAGTCTATATTTGTGAATTTCGATGGTTTGTCAGATTTGGCGTCATTTATACTTTGATAGGGGATGCGGTGACGCTCAATCTCATTCTTTCTGTAAGGGAGTTTTACAACAGGTATGTTTCTCTTGGTAGCTTAAGTTGCCTTTGTTTTGAACATGGAACTATTCTCTCTCTTTAACCCCATTAATATGTTAAAATTTCATATTTGATGAACAATCTCAGTTTGTGAAGACTCATATTTCTGTTATACTTGTGCAGCTCCATCCTGTATCTATACTCAAGTGAGGTCCTATCTCAGGTGTGTTATCTTGCCTTTTTATTTTCCTATTCTCAAAAGGCTATTGTTAGGGACAATAATGAGTTTGCCTCAAAAGCCTGAGTACAATAATGACATGGCCAGTGTTGTAATTATTACATTGCATAAATTTTACACTTATCTTTCCCTTTCTGATTACACGCTAAAAGATAGGTTTCTTTTCTTGTTTAGGTTTTGTTTGGGATACTGTTGCTGGTGTATATTCCTGATTTGGATCCATACCCTGGTTATACCCCAATGCGGACCGAACTTGTGGATGATGATGGATATGAAGAACTTCCCGGAGGAGAGGAAATATGTCCTGAGAGGCATGTTAATATATTTTCCAGTATGTATATCTTTCTGTATTTATCTTTGATGCCTGGTAGGGTCATGAATTAACATTATATGTTGATTAAGATGTAGATCCTTATTCTCAAAAATAAAAAATATTGTAAATCCTTATATCTTTGATGCCTATTGATGCCTAATATGTTGCCATGGTTGGTCTATACGTGACATTTCAGCTGGTATTGCACAGTCATCATGAGTAATTTTAGCCTTTAATTTACAATAATATTACATATTTTATTGCAATGGGAATTTTATATGCTTGTTGCTTTCTAACAATGAATTTACCCCAATGGATATAAGGATGAAAATTTAGCAATTTGTTCTGTTCTGTTTCTTCTTAGCCTAATCTTGTCATGATGCAAATTGGTAAGCATAGATATTTCTTGTGGGTCAGAATAAATATGTATGTGATTCGCTTTTGATTCTCTTGTATTCATTTCCGTTTTGCTAGAAATATTTTTTTCATGGATGAGTCCCCTAATGGAGCAAGGCTATAAAAGGCCTATCACAGAGAAGGATGTCTGGAAGTTAGATACTTGGGATCGGACTGAAACGCTTAACAACAAGTATGTGCTGGTATTTTAATTATATTTTGGTTCTTGGAATTTTATGCATCGCGATGATGTATGATATATGTGTCCGACTTTGTAGGTTTCAGAAATGTTGGGCTGAGGAATCACGAAGGCCCAAACCATGGCTCTTAAGAGCATTGAATAGCAGTCTTGGAGGAAGGTAGTGAAATATAGCCTTAGTTATGTCACTTTTCATGTTTGGTTGTATGACTAAAGATAGTTTTCGCCTTTCTTTTTCATATTATTGTATTAATAATTTGAAGGGATAAGTAAAACAAGTAATCAGATAAATGACAATGAAAATGATGATACTATTGTTTCTAGTGGAAGTTGACTTGTATTGTCTAAGGAGACAATCAAATCTAAAAGGTTGGGACAAACTTGAGCTCTAGCTCTTTAGCATGTATTTGGGTGAGAACGGTATTCTTCTAGTGAAACAGTTAATGCTAGATATAGCTCGTGAAAAGTTAATCACTATCCTCATCTTTATCTAATTCATCCCCTTCTTGGTCTTTAGGTTTTGGTGGGGAGGCTTCTGGAAGGTAATAACCTATGTTCCTGGAAATTTCTGATGCCTTTTATTTATGGAACTTTTACTATTAAGTTATAATTTTTTTGGAGAATTTTTAATGGTCCAGTGCATATATTGCATATGCAAAGAGTTGGCTTTGGTTCTTCAAGCTTTCTGCATGTACATGAACATCAAAGAGGCTTGTATATTTTGAAGGCCATATCATTTTGGTTCATAGCATCCTTACTTAGAATGTAATCTAAAATGTTTTATCTTAGAATAATCGGAAAGAGTCTGATCAGATTTCCTCATTTCACATTTTCCACATTTCTACCATGAGGCTGGCCCAATAGTCATCTACTCCACTGTAATTTGAAGTAGTGGCCTGCAGGCTGTGTAAACCGAAGTCCTACCTATCAGGAGGATTCTCGCTCAGAGAAATTGCATAGGAAAATAATGTCTGTTAATTATTGAACTTTTGGCGGCTTTGGGAAGTGTTTTTTTCCTTCAGTATTTGAGAGTTTAGACAGGTCACTTTTTTTAAACATCTTCATTTTCTTATGTATGAAAGGTTTCTCAATTGATAAATTGCTGTTCTCTGTTTTGTGCAATTGATTTACCCCTAATATTTGTCCCTTAAACTTGCTGACTGTTCTTTAAATATGCAGATTTTTAACGATCTTTCACAATTTGTTGGGCCGCTCATATTGAACCGCCTGTTAGAGGTTTGCTCCTTGTTTCTATTATTCTATATTTGTCTGCGATCAAGTTCTTTTTAGTGCATGGAATTGCTCAAGTTCTCATTCATTTAATAGTGAAAACTCTCCTTGACCTCTATTGCCAAATGTTTAAAAGAAAAATCGGTGTATGGGTGTATTTTGATCATTTTGCGCATCTCTATTTTATATTTACACTTCATGTTTGTAATATTCTCTTATGCCTTTTAGCATGTTTCTGAATTGTTCTAAAGTTGGGCAGTATTTTTATATTTATATTATATTTTCAATTGTAGTATTCTTTCTTGACTCATTCTAAGTACATTAAAAATTTAACTAACTTATGATGGAGACATGTTCAGGCATAAAGGCAAAATGAAACCTTTCACTAAAATATCTTTGGTTTTGTTGTTATTGGTGAAGTAACACGTAAAGCACATATCTGCAGTTGACTCCTGCATATCAAGTTTAGTTATAAGAACTTTGCACAATTGTCCTGTATCGTGGAAGTTATCTAGTTTTGTTATTGTGTTTTATCTCCAATTTTTGTCACTTATTTCTTAAATGAACTTCCTGCAGTCCATGCAACAAGGTGATCCAGCTTGGATCGGCTACATCTATGCTTTCTCAATTTTTGTTGGAGTGGTATAAATATAATCCTTTGATTGGAAGTTTTAGTTTCTTTCTTAATGAAAATGTGCATATTATTTGATTTTTGAAAACTTGATCCAGGCCCTTGGGGTGTTATGTGAAGCTCAATATTTTCAGAATGTCATGCGTGTTGGATTTCGGCTGAGATCTACTTTGGTAAACCTTTTTTTTAATCTGGAAACAATTATTTCATTCAGTTTTGCTGCTTTTCTGGAGTATTGACAAGCTTATTTATTTCTGTTCTTTTATTTTCTTCATCTGTTGAAGGGCTGGCTGAGATCCTGAAAGTGCCTTTTATCTCATGAACAATGATGTTACATAAAGTGCCTTTTATCTCATGAACAATGATGTTACATAAAGTGCCTTTTATCTCGTTAACAATGATGTTACATACTCAGAACTTTTAATTTTTAATTATCTAGTTTATTTTGGCTTGGTGTTAGCTTCCTACATTTGAAGTTTGTCTTTTCTGGAAGAACTGTTTCTCTGGAAGAATAATGGTTTCACATTCTCAGTACTTTGTCTGAATGCATTTTAAGTTATTGATTAGTTGACATCACTAGTTATAGATCATTCGACTTAAATCATTTGTTACAAGTGTAAATATTGCCAAGGCTTGAACTGCATATCACTTGGTGTAATTGTAAGCTCTGAGCACTTCTATCTCTAGCTTTTTATTGAAATATCATTTTTTTTGTAATGTATAAGAGGCTTGTATGGATTTTTTTTCCTACTTGCATAATTGTTTCTTTGCTTCACCATTTCCTGACTGTACTCTTTTTTCTTCTTCTGAAGATTGCTGCCGTGTTCCGTAAATCTCTTAGGCTTACTCATGAGGGGCGTAAGAAGTTTGCTTCTGGGAAAATAACCAACTTGATGACAACAGATGCTGAAGCACTTCAGGCATGATCATTTATTACTTTATCTTAATTTGTGTATAACATTTTTTATGGCTGGTATTGCTGAAACTAATTTGGGTTTGTATGATGTGGAATGGGATTCTATAGAGTCCACTGTTTCTTTTATGGTGTAAGAACTGTCGTATCCTCTTTTATTTAATTTATTATTTTTATGCGGTGGGGTGGGGGCCGGGGGTTTGTCTCTGCTCTTAACCTGAATAATGTCCTTGAAGATGGTAGTAAATGTTCAAGTGTTTAATCTTCTAAGCATGTAGTATAACCAGTTTTCCTTGTTTTAAGTTTATATCACAACTTTGGATCTTGAAGTTCACAATGAGTTTCCTTGAGCATGTTGTTATTTATGGAGGAGAAACGACCAAACTCTGCTTCTTAAAACAAATCGGTTTAGTTTAAAAAATCTCAGCTCTTTCTAACGAAATATATATCTTTCTTTTTGCAGCAAATATGTCAATCACTCCACACTTTGTGGTCAGCTCCATTTCGTATTATTTTTGCAATGGTCCTTCTTTATCAGCAGTTAGGTGTTGCTTCACTGCTTGGAGCATTAATGCTAGTCCTTCTGTTTCCCGTGCAAGTATGTGATTTTGCTCTGGTTTTTCCAATATTCTTTCTTTAAGATGAATAGCTGATATTACACTTTTAATTCCTTGAATAAAGAGGATTATGTGATGTTAAACTTATAGGGCACACATTTCATTTTATTGGCTTTGTTTTCTTTATTGTCTTACACTATTTGACATTTTGCAAACAGACAGTAGTTATAAGCAGAATGCAAAAGTTGTCAAAGGAAGGTTTGCAACGTACAGATAAGAGAATAGGCCTCATGAATGAAATATTGGCTGCAATGGACACTGTAAAGTATGATTTGTTTCTAGAAAACTGTTTTATTTTTCATCGTCTTTCTAGAGCTTTTGAGTATTTCTAGTTACGGTTTTGAATTTATGCTGTAATGTCTCAGATGTTATGCTTGGGAGAACAGTTTCCAGTCTAAAGTCCAAAGTGTCCGGGATGATGAGTTGTCATGGTTCCGCAAAGCATCCCTGCTTGGAGCGGTAGTCCCCTGATCTATGCTTATTTGTTCTGTTTATGCAAGTCTTAATTTACTATGATAAAAATACCAGCTCTAATTGCTTTTTGTAAAATTTGAAAGAAAAATATGTTAAATTGCTTATTCAGCTACCATAGTCTGTATCTCTGTTGCGTGCAACACCAATCACTCATCTTACAAGCAACATCATGTAAATAATAACAGTTGTTTACGAGCTGTTGCTAATTCAGTTGCCATAATCTGTATCTCTGTTGCGTGCAACACCAAGCACCCATCTTAAAAGTAGCATCATGTGTAGAATTTTAGTTAAAATGAAAATTTCATTTGCTTCTTTATTCGGCAAAACACAACCTTTAAATAGGTTGCATGTTACATAAACTAGAATCCTGAAACAACTAGGTTTTTTATTTCCTAGGACTCGTATCTGTAAGGACTCTTATCTCCTAAGAAAGAGAGTCCTAATTAAAATAAATCTGATCCTAAAATCTAGAATCCTTAAACTACTAGGTTCTTTGAAATGAAATGTATGTTAGTCTCCACATGCTTGGTTATGTCATGATGTGTTGGATTATTGGCAATACTTATGGTAGATTGGCTGGCACTCTCATTTTGATTTGGTCCTTCAAATTAAGTTTCAACTCTCTTAATAATCTTTCAATCCACATACCTTCATAGATTCCTAAAGCAAGTGCTCAAAATTTTGCTTCTGCACTACTTGAAGCCACAAATTGCTTTTTGCTTTTTCATTTAACAAGATTGCCATAAACAAGATTGCTTCTTCATTGATATGGATATAGCCGTATAGGTGTTTTTGGTTGGATGATTTCAACGGCATTTTTATTCGTCTTATTCTGTCTCTTGTTTGCAGCTTAATGGCTTTATACTGAATAGTATTCCAGTTGTGGTGACTGTGATTTCATTTGGCATGTTTACTTTGCTTGGAGGCGACTTGACACCTGCTAGGGCATTTACATCTCTCTCTCTCTTTTCTGTGCTTCGATTCCCCTTATTCATGCTTCCCAACATAATTACTCAGGTGATCATCTTTTCCTCTTTCAGGTATTCGGGCTAGACCATTTTATACAGTGGCATTTTAACTGCCATTTTTGGTAGTAGATAGGTCATATGATTGTGTTTCTCTGCCCTTTGTGAAGGGCTTATTTTCTGTTTGGATCTTTTACTTTACATGGGTGCTATATTCCTATGGTACATAGAAAGGTGGAATATACTAAAACTTGTAGTGTGTTTTTCTTGGTTTCTAATGCTGTGGTTTGACAGGTAGTAAATGCAAATGTATCACTAAAACGTCTAGAGGAGCTGTTCATGACTGAAGAGAGGGTTCTTTTGCCAAATCCTCCTCTTGATCCTGAACTACCAGCAATCCAAATAAAAGACGGATATTTTTCATGGAATTCAAAGGTCTAATTTTTAAAATGGACACTTTTTACTTTTTCCTTTTTAGTCTCTAATTTACATGAATATGTATTGCATATATGTTAAAGTTGACCTATACAATTGATTCTTATTCTGTAATCTTAATAAGGATAATCACATCAAGCAACATAAATTCATGACTCTTAATATGGTTGTTAAAAATATCTTTTTACTTGTTGAATTCTTCTTCTTAGATGAAATGAACCCTTGATTCTGTGTGTACTATCCTGAAGAGGCAAAAGTTTTATACATTTATGTCATGCTGGGACCAAAAATTACTATCTTTCTTTCTCTTATGTCTTTTACAATATAAAATTCCTGTTTATTATTTCAGGCAGAGAGGCCCACATTGTCTAATATTAATTTAGATATCCCAGTTGGTAGCCTGGTTGCAGTAGTTGGTAGTACTGGTGAAGGAAAGACTTCGGTTGTATCTGCAATGCTGGGGGAGCTTCCTCCAATGTCTGATGCCGGTGTTGTTGTCAGAGGAACAGTCGCTTATGTTCCTCAAGTTTCATGGATTTTCAATGCAACTGTAAGTTTTGTCTTGTTTATCTTGTTTTTATGTTTGCTTGTGCTTTTGGATATGTAGTCTGACTTGTTTAGTTACTGGCAATCAGTTTTTATACTAGTTATTTTTTTCTTTTGGAGATAAGGAATATTATTATATGTTATCTTCTCGAAGATGATTAAGATGGCTTGTCTTGTGATCATCAATTTAGTAGCTTAATAAGCTGAAAAGTCTATACCCTTCAAACAAGTTTAATTGCTTTCATATTAGTTGTTGATCTTTGAAGTTTATGCTTGCAGGTACGTGATAACATATTGTTTGGATCTTCTTTTGATTCGGCAAGATATGAGAAGGCAATAGATGTTACTTCATTGCAGCATGACCTTGAGTTACTGCCTGTAAGCATTTCACAAAGCTGTAACATGATGTCGTGGAGAGGCAGAAGTCTCTCATCTATGCAACACTTTTTGATCTCATGGTTTGTCTATATTTTATGTTAGGGTGGTGATCTAACCGAGATTGGTGAAAGAGGTGTTAATATTAGTGGTGGGCAAAAGCAAAGGGTTTCCATGGCTAGGGCTGTATATTCCAATTCCGATGTGTACATTTTTGATGACCCTTTGAGTGCTCTGGATGCACACGTGGCTCGGCAGGTAACTGTTTCGGTATAGCAGTTAGTTTTTTTTTATTTATTTACTCCGTAATTTGACCTTATGATTTTGCTGAACAGAACTATGTTTTATCAACGTGTAAGGAAAACTTGTCTTTATTGATCTTACTTGAGCTATCGCTCCTGATAGAGCACAATGTCATAAAAGAATCCATGTGGTTTTGTTCCTTGTTATTGCATGTTTTAGCTTTTCTAGCCTTGGTCCCTGTTTTAAGTTTTTTACATTTTGAAACTTCTAAAAATCAAGAACTAAACCTTATCCCAATATCGATGAGATGTGCTTAACATATTGTCGCACCTATTAGGACAAATAATGCTATTCTTATTAAACTAGGCAAAGTCAGCCCTCTACACACATGCTCATTTAAAATCTGATCTATGAATATGATCTTCAAAAACTTAATTTTGAAGAGTTAACAGTCATTATTTTTATCTCTATTTTTTAATTTTAATTTTATTTCATAGCCTATCTGTTATTCCTTTAGAAGTTATTCCTTTAGAAATTATCCCTCTTGTTCCAGCCTTTACTTATGTTCAGATATTTGATAATGTTGGTATGCTTTGTGTTTTGATGTGGCAATGATATGATTTCTGCTTCCAATAATTTTCAGGTTTTTGATAAATGCGTAAAGGGAGAATTGAGAGGCAAAACAAGAGTTCTTGTCACGAACCAGCTTCACTTCCTTTCACAGGTTGATAGAATTATTCTGGTTCATGAAGGAATGGTGAAAGAGGAAGGAACTTTTGAGGACCTCAGTAATAATGGTTTGCTGTTCCAAAAGCTAATGGAGAATGCAGGAAAAATGGAAGAGTATGCAGAGGAAAATGAGAACAGTGATGTAGTTGACCTGAAGGACTCTAAACCTGTTGTTAATGGAGTAGCAAATGACATGCCCAAAAGTGCAAGCCAAGCAAATAAAAAAGAAGGCAAATCTGTTCTCATTAAGCAGGAAGAACGGGAAACAGGAGTTGTTAGCTGGAATGTTTTAGTGAGGTAGAATATTAAATATTTTGATTTTTACTTCTCTTCCCCACATTGCATTATTACATTTATATACAGCTATTACCATATCTTTAGATTCACCGAATTCTGTGATAACTACCTACTCAAGTCTACTTAAATTGACGGATAGATGTTTGAATCAAAAAAGAGGACCGGTAGATGTAAGCCAACTAGAAAAACTTAGTGTTCTTTGAACAGCATCTTTGTCATTATTCAATATGTAGAATTCTCGTAGCCTTCTCAATCGCTAAATTTGACACCATTTTTATGTTTAGAAGGAAGGTGACAACATATTCTCATATTGATGGCTCTCATATCATATATGGACCCTCTTAATGAAACTAACTTAAAAGTTTCATCCGGTCTTTCTCACTGCAGCACACTTAAAATTTTCCTGTCTTTTACTGAGAGATTTGTTAATGAGGATTCACTGAGTAGATTATGGTTTCCTTATGTTAACTAAATGTGGTTTAGGTAACTGGCAAACAATCCATTGTGTGTGATTAGGAAGAGAGGAAAGGAATTAGTGATCTCTGCTATGATTTAATCTGAATTCTTTTTGTTTTTCACTTTTGTTTAAAAAGGAAAAAAATCTCAGTTACTGCATTATCTTTCTCTTTTTGTCCAGGTACAAGAATGCATTGGGAGGTTTTTGGGTGGTTATGGTGCTCTTTATGTGTTACATCTTAACAGAAGTTTTACGAGTTTCAAGCAGCACATGGCTGAGTTCTTGGACAGATCAAAGTACTACAAAGACACATGGACCCGGTTATTACAATTTGGTCTATTCAGTTCTATCGTTTGGTCAGGTTTGGGTTTATTTGATTCATATCGACTTAAATTTTCGATGCATAAATTCTTACACACCTCTGACATTTTGTTTATTTAGTTTTACTCCTGAAGAGTTACCATTCCAATAAATAATAGTTCTGTTTTCTTAAAAATTAGTAATGCTTTTTAGTGACTAGTTTTACTTGTCATATTTTATCTTCATTTTCTTCCTCATCTGGTTTCAGGTCTCCGTGACATTGGTTAATTCGTATTGGTTAATCATAACGAGTCTTTATGCAGCCAGAAGGTTGCATGATGCAATGCTTAATTCCATTCTTAGAGCTCCAATGACCTTCTTCCACACCAACCCTCTTGGTCGGATTATTAACAGATTTGCAAAGGATTTAGGTGACATTGATCGAAATGTTGCTCCATTCGTCAATATGTTTTTGGGTCAAGTCTCGCAGCTCCTTTCTACTTTTGTCTTGATAGGCATTGTGAGCACTATGTCTTTGTGGTCCATAATGCCACTTTTGGTTTTGTTTTATGCTTCTTATTTATACTACCAGGTAAACAAACTTTGTCCTCATCTTTTATTTTTCTGATTTATTGTCTTCTTTTTCTAACCCTGAAATCTACAAATTCTCGTCGTGTAGAAAGTGCCAACTTTTTCCAGTTCTGATTTTTAGCAGTCAGTAAATTTAGCTTATGGAGGTCTCTGCAGCTGGATATTCTTGTTTGTATGTTTCTCATGTAATCGTTTTTTTTAATTCCACAGAGTACAGCGCGTGAAGTGAAGCGCTTAGATTCTATAACTAGATCACCTGTATATGCACAATTTGGAGAAGCATTGAATGGTCTGTCAACTATTCGTGCATATAAAGCTTATGATCGCATGGCTGACATAAATGGAAAATCCATGGACAATAATATCAGATTCACTCTTGTTAACATGAGTTCAAATCGTTGGCTTGCAATCCGTTTGGAAACTCTGGGAGGACTCATGATTTGGTTTACGGCAACCTTTGCTGTAATGCAAAATGGAAGGGCAGAGAACCAGCAGGAATATGCATCTACCATGGGTCTACTTTTGAGTTATGCACTAAACATTACAAGTTTATTGACCGCGGTACTCAGGCTTGCCAGTTTGGCTGAAAATAGTTTAAATGCAGTCGAGCGTGTTGGTACATATATAGAGTTGCCTTCAGAAGCCCCACTTATTATTGAGAGTAACCGCCCCCCTCCTGCTTGGCCTTCATCTGGATCTATCAAGTTTGAGGATGTTGTTCTTCGTTACAGACCTGATCTTCCTCCTGTCCTGCATGGGCTGTCTTTTACAATTTCTCCTAGTGACAAGGTAGGCATTGTTGGAAGGACGGGGGCTGGAAAATCAAGCATGCTAAATGCTTTGTTTAGAATTGTAGAGCTGGAAAGAGGGAGGATCTTGATTGATGGTTGTGATATTGCAAAGTTCGGACTGATGGATCTACGTAAAGTACTTGGCATTATACCACAATCACCAGTTCTTTTCTCAGGTACACCACATCAACAATGGATTATAATTTACATATTAGCTTAGTGGACTTTTTCCAGGCATCTACCATGATTTGACGTAGGATCTTTTTATCTATAGTAGTTTATTATAAATTTTCTTTCCCCTAATATTTACTAGCTTATAATGTTGAGATAATCTTGACATATATCACATTTGTACGCGTACATTTCTTCTTACTTGATGGTCCATTGATTTTCTGCTGCTTATTTCATATTTCGTATTGTTTTTCCAATTAATGTATACAATATTTATGACCATTTTGTTTCTAATTGGGATAGGAACTGTGAGATTTAATCTTGATCCGTTCAATGAACACAATGATGCTGACCTTTGGGAGGCTCTAGAGAGAGCACACCTGAAAGATGTCATTCGGAGGAATTCCCTTGGTCTATATGCTGAGGTATTTATGATTTCCCCCTCCCCCGATGGAGATTGTATTGCCAATTTCGTAAACAATTTCATCCAATGATTGGAAAAGAGAAATGATCAGTTGGTCATCTTTTGAAGCGTCCTAGGATGCTGAAATTAGTATGGTTCTTCAATGACAATTATTGAACTCTTATCCTGTGCTTTGTCCAGGTTTCAGAGGCTGGGGAAAACTTTAGTGTCGGGCAGAGGCAATTGCTAAGTCTTGCACGTGCATTATTGAGGAGATCAAAGATACTTGTTCTTGATGAAGCAACTGCAGCTGTCGATGTCAGAACTGATGCCCTTATTCAGAAAACTATTCGGGAAGAATTCAAATCATGTACCATGCTTATCATTGCTCACAGACTCAATACAATAATCGACTGTGATCGTATTCTTCTGCTTGATTCTGGCAGGGTATGTGTAGAATTCTTGAGCTTGATTTACTCTCATTGCAAGCTTTCATAGCTATAAAAAGTGTAATTTATTCATTAGTATACCCTCATTCTCCCGCTTTGCATTTGGTTGATGTATCGATGCTCTTATTTTGATGCCAGTTGCTGGAATATGATACACCGGAGGAACTATTGTCAAATGAAGGCAGTGCTTTCTCCAAGATGGTTCAAAGTACTGGGGCTGCTAATGCTCAATACTTGCGAAGTCTAGCACTCGGAGGGGAAGGAGAGGACAGGTTGGGCAGAGAAGAGAATAAGAAGTTGGATAGACAGAGAAAATGGCTGGCATCTTCTCGTTGGGCTGCTGCTGCCCAGTTTGCACTTGCTGTTAGCCTCACTTCATCCCACAACGACCTTACTCGCCTGGAAATCGAAGATGAAAATAGTATCCTCAAGAAAACAAGGGATGCTGTCATAACTCTGCAGGGAGTTCTGGAAGGGAAGCACGATAAAACAATAGAAGAGTCACTGGATCAACGTCAAATGTCTAAAGACGGGTGGTGGTCAGCACTTTACAAAATGGTAGAAGGTACAAAACAAATATTCCACCTATTGCATTACAATAACCCTGTATCATAAGTTCTTTTGGTTTGTTCCTTGAACCATCTTACAAATTTCTGCTTTTCTTCTTCCAGGTCTTGCTATAATGAGCAGATTGGCAAGGACCAGGCACCATCAATCAGATTATGGTTTCGAAGATAGATCTATCGACTGGGATCACGTTGAAATGTAGAGTTCAATTTGGATTCATAACTGGATATAACATCTGAAAGTTATATAAGTTTTCATCAAGGATTGTTAACCCTACTTTCAGTATTTTTTGAGCTTGCGCATAAAGTTTTCACTCCATAAAAAGAATTCAGTTTTATGTCTTTTCCTTTTCCAAATGTTTAGAGTTTATTCCATATCTTTATTAATAGAGTAAACTACGCACGGAATCACTTAATTATGGGTGGATTCTTTTTTAACTAATGATATTTCAATTTTGTCAATCAGATCACCAACTGTTAACATTTAACGGAGTTGATGAAAGTGTCACTTGATTTGTGGTGAAAATAATCAAACCTGGGTCAATGGATTAGTTTGTGAGTTTGTCAACCACTTAACCAAACACCTTATTTGGTAATGAGTTAGCAAAATCTTATATATAAGCTATAGTAATTAATGGCAAAAATAAAGGTGAAGAGGGTGTAATTGCAAATAAGGTAGAGAGAGAATTACCTTGGCTCTAAGTTGTAAGCTTAAAAACCATATTTATGCATGTCCGTGAGATACTTGCAAGCAGGTCCATGAATTGAAATTAAAAATGTCTAATTATTATTTCGTCAATGTCAAATGGCATGTTGGTTGCAGCAAAGACAAGAACCCGTTGACCAGCTTTGGTCAACACTCAACAGACCATCCCAATGTGTCATAACTTTCCGCATAGCTTCATGCCCAGCATGCTATCAATCTCGTCCACGAAAATAATGGTCTTGCTGCTACTGTAAATAAGGTTCTCACGTTCTTTTCATCTTCACCGAACCATTTTGACATGATGGTGGACATTGAGACATAAATAAAACTTGCTCCTGCTGCATCTGCAATGGTCTTTGCCAGTATTATTTTCCCTCTACTAGTAGGCCCGAAGAGTAGTATTCCTCTACATGGCTTGAGAAGCCCTCTTTTGATGTGATCCAACCTTTTTGAAGAGGGAGCGTGACTCTCTCTCGAAGCGATTCCAATGACGAAACTTGTTGATAGAGTTTGGAGGGATCAACTTAAAATTTTAAAAAATTTAGAGGTTTTAATTAATTTTTTTTTTAAAAATTGATGGGTTTAGTCTATATTTTTTTCCAAAAAAATAGGATCTAACTACAATTTTTGAACTTTTGAGACTTAATGATAATTTTTAAAAATTATGGGAGGGGTTTAATTAAGAACATTAAAAAATTAAAATTTAATTTGAATTTCTAAAAAAATTTAGGGCTAAATTGATTTTTTTTTTAAATTTAAGGGTTAAAATTAAAAAATTTAAAACTTTTGAGGGGCCAAAGCCCCCCTCTAGTCTAGCTTATATTCCGCCAATGAGCGATTCTTTGATATTATCTATGGTATTGATATCAGCAAACGCCACTCTAATATCAATAGCAGGGATAACCTTTTTTCTCCATTCCTATTTGCATCGAAAATATTTCGTTCTCCATATTAAATTATGTAAATTGGATATTTTCAAGTTAAAATGTAAAAAATACTATTGATAGTAAGTTCTATTCAATTGAGTAACTCATATAATATTCTCAGTTGTAATTAGGATTATTACCAAATATATAACTTTTTAAAATGGACGGTGTAATATCCCAAAATCCGGCTAGTGACTAAAACGAGAATTTTGGAAAGTTTTGTGCTTAATTTTGAAATAAGTTAAAGTTATGGGATTTAAGTAAAGAATTTTGATGATGGATTAAATAGCATAGATGGACAATTAAAGGGGTAATTTAGTCTTTTCACCTTAAAGGATATTTTTCCCCTTTAAATAAGAGTTATGCACGTGGGTTTTGGGAGATTTCTGGAAGCCTTCTTCTTGCTCTCTTCTTCTTCTTCCCGTAACTCAAGCTTAAAGGTAAGTTTGATTTTTAGATGTTAATTTCTTGAATTTATAAGTTGGTTTTGAATCTTTGGGGGTTATATAAGCTTAAGGAAAGTTTATATAAGCTTAAAACATCAAGAAGAGAGAATTAGAAAGGAATTTCTATTAAGAGTTTAGAAATGAACTTTTGATATATAATGGTTTTTGAAATTCTAAGGATGAATTGGACTTGTCCTCAACTTAATTAAGAGATATGATGTGTTAGAAATGGACTTGGAACATGTTGAAAATTTAAGTTTAATTTTTTAATCCCAGAGGTGGATAGGATTTTGAGGTTTAAGATGTGATAAATGGGTATTAAGTGGTTTAAGTAAGAGTATATAAGTTAAGGATATGAAATGGGCTGAATTATGGCACTATTGAGCTAAGTTGAGTGATTTTCGTGCATAAATTGGACTTTTGGACCAGTGTGCATCGGTACACATTCAACATGTACCGATGCATCAAGGGTAAATTTCCAAAAATTGTTCAGTGTGTATTGATGCACAGGAAGTGCATCGATGCACCCATTAAAAATGGAAACATCGAATGCAATTAGTGCATCAATGCATAAGGAGTGCATCGATACACCCCCTTAAGATTGAAACATCGAAGGTGATTTGTGTACCGATGCATGGGTAGTGCATCGATGCACATGTTAAGGGATGCATCGATACACTGTAGAATGTACCAATGCACATCAAGAGAAAATAGAATTAGTTCTTTCTTTTGGTCTAAGAAATGATAGATTAGAATACATCAATTAGATACTGATATGTATCAATGTATAAATATGTAGATATCGAGCACGAACAAGTTTTGGGATAACCATCAAGTTAAGATTCGATCGGAAGAAAGAAAATCATAAAAGGGGATTGGAACTTAGTGAGGCCAAGGTGTGTGCATACAAGTTAGTTTATGATGTTTAATGGAAATATGACTTGCGACGAGTCTATTTCCTATATTAGAATGCATGAATTTATGATCATATGCATATGTTTGATTTGGGTATATGTGATATTTATTATAGTATGTATTAAATGATTTGTATGAATACATGTATTGTGAAAAGTTATAGGAATTAATATGAATTATCTATATGATTACATGGGAATGTGAAATAGGTTATATGATAGGCGACCATACATGTTACATAGTATATGTGATCAATCATAAGAATCAATATAATAGATTTATATGACTACATGAGAAGGGTGATGAGTTAAATAAGATTAGACTATAGATTAATATGAGAATAATATATTAGTGAAGGGAATTGAATATAAATGATGATACCAAACTATAAGATAAGTGTTATAGAGAAGAAGTATACTTAAAGAAAACTATGGTATAGGAGTTATGTAAAATTTAACTAAATAAATAGATTAACTTATTATACAAATAATATTAGATATGTGATATAAATTATATGTTATGGTATAAATAATTATGAGAATAAATGGAAAAATGAGACAAGATAAGTATTTACTTATATGATAATATGAGATTATATGAATATATAGTATAACTTTATGAGGAAGAATTGGGTGTTATATGATTTAGGTATGGAAATGATCTATGTGTAAGTAAATTACGTGATTATGTGACTATGTGTGAAATGGAGTTAACTAGGTAATTATAAGGTATGTGAATATAGGTATATAAGATAAGCCACATGACTATGAATTAGGTGAAATTAAGTGGTGAGAATGATATGACAGAAAGCTATAAGAGAATATGTTATGAGAAGATATAAGAACAAGTATAAGCTATGTGATATGTGAGTTTTATGAAAATGTTCTACGTGTAAGTGATCTACGTGTATATGTGAATTATATGGAAATGAACTACTTGACTACGTGTGATCTTATAAAAATGTAATAATGAGACTATGTGTATATGTGAATGTGTGATAACATAAATATTAATGCCCATGTTATGTGTAATGAAAGCTAGAGGTATAGTTGGCATGCCAAGAGTCAAGGGTCTACGTGGTCCTTCGGGACATATATGTATTCTTTGGAACATGTGTGAGGTATTTTGAGACACATACTTGATCCTTGGCATATGTATATGATTCTTAAGGAATTTTCTACGTGGTCCTTAGGGACAACCTTATATAGAACTTCGGTGCAATTATACGTGGTACTTCGGTGCAATTCTATGTGGCACTTTGGTGCATTTATACGAGTTGTGGTGATAGAATTAGTGCACAACCTCTAGAGACTCACATATCAATAATTCTCACATATGTACATGGGCTAATCAAGAGATAATAACAAATATATGTTGTGATATGATAAATTTTATAGCAAGGACATGATGAGGTATAGGTATAGTCTATGATTAAGAAGGATAAGTATATGTGCTATGTGATTAAATGATAAGTGACTAATGATGATTTATATGTAGGCATGTATTTCTTATTAGATAATCTGATAGGATTTATATGATGATGTTTGTATTGCTTGGTTAATTGAATAATATGTTGAGTAAAAGAATAGATATAAGAGGATATAATTATAAGATATAAATGATAAGAATATTGATAGTGGAATAAGGTTAGAGATTTAAAATAATGTGTGATATGTATAGTATGTTATATATAATGTATATTGTTTTGATGTGGCATTATAAGATTATAGGTTCATGCATGTGTAAATAGTTAGAGTTCTTTTAGAATTAATGCCTCACTAAGTCATAGACTTAGCGTGTGATTGTTCCACACGTAGGTTACAGAAACGAGAAGAAGAGTAAAGAGCAATGTGGAGCAAGACATGTTAGTTCTCCTTACTGAAGGTCAGATCAGAAGAGAGGTGAATAATATGTATTTTAATATATAAAGTTTTAGCTGGCATGTACTCAAAAGAATATAGTGTATAAGATCTGAATAGTTCTGTAAAAGTTTTTAAATTACTCACTATTTTTTTATAAGTAAATATTTTAAAAAGTCAATGTGACACCTCAGACCTGGATCCGGGTCGGATACGGGTTGAGGGTGTTACAGACGGGGTCACATTTTCGATTTGAATCGAAAATATTATAATCCATAATAAATCATGTAAATCATATAATTTTTCAAGTTAAAACGTGAAAAGATAACATTATAAACCGCAACTGAAATTCTTATCAAATATGTAATTTTTTAGAATAAATAAAATAACATTTTTTGATTGGAACTGAAAATATTATATTGTCCAATCCTATTACATTTCAAGTTGAAACATAGAAAGATAACATCATTGATAAGATTTATTAAATT